AAAATGAATATTAATGCTCAAAATTGCTTCTCTGCTTCCTGTCTGCCATTTCAGTCATAATTAAATTAGGAGCTAATTAAATTGTTTTATTAGTTTAAATAAATCTAAAGACCAAAAAAAACAAAGAATATCAAAAAGACTGCTGGGTCCACATCTCTTAAAAACTATCCTTGTTCTCCTGATGAATAAATGGCGAATGGTAAATCTTACATTTATAGACGGAATTTAAAAGAAAATACAAAAAGTGTGGGGTCAAGATCAATAAAGTGTGTGTTTATTAGGGTTGTGACAGCGCCAGGCCCAGCGCTGGAACACTAGCATGTAATCTTGTGCTGTTTTTTTGTTTTTCCTCCTCCCTGAAGAGCAGCAAACCTCCTCGGTCACGCCTCGGGGCCATAAAGAGGCATGCAATGAACAGTCGTCAATCCAGTTTGGGACTATTGACCTGAAGATCTGGGCGGATAGTGGGAGCTGGACGATTTGAAAAGGAGAAAAAGCAGCAAATCAGTCTCACATGCTCCAGGTGGGCAGTCATAATAAACTGAGAGGTTTCTGTCCCCCGTCATGGAGAGAAGAGATGGAATTGGAAATATGTTGTAGTAATACCTTCATGAAGGTCATCATGAAGGTCCTAGAGAGACTTCTGTTGACCCACCTGACTAGACAAACAAGCACATATCAGGACCCACTGCAGTTTGCTTATCAGCGTGGACTTGGAGTTGAAGATGCCGTCATACACCTGCTTCAGTAAACTCAGTGTCATCTAGAAAAGGCAGACAGCACTGTGAGAGTCATGTTCTTTGATTTCTCCAGTGCATTTAACACAATCCAGCCTGATCTGCTTTGTCAGAAACTCCAGAAGACTCAGGTGGAGGCCTCAACAATCGCCTGGATCAAAGACTACCTGACGGACAGACCACAGTTTGTGAGACTGAAGGGTTGCGTGTCTAACCAGGTGGTCAGTAGCTCAGGAGCACCACAGGGGACTGTACTCTCACCATTCCTTTTCACTCTGTACACCTCAGATTTCCAGTACAAAACAGACTCCTGTCATCTGCAGAAATATTCAGATGACTCTGCAGTGGTCAGGTGTATCAGAGATGGACAAGAAGCTGAGCACAGGGAACTGGTGGACCTCTTTGTGGCATGGTGTGGAAACAATCATCTCATCTTGAACGTGAACAAAACAAAGGAGATGATTGTAGATTTCAGGAGAAGCAGGAACAGATCCAACCCTATTTCCATCATGGGAGAAGAAGTGGAGGTGGTGGAGAAGTATAAATACCTTGGGATTCACCTGGACAACAGACTGGACTGGAAATGTGACAGTGAAGCGTCTACAAGAAGGGACAGAGCAGACTGTACTTCTTGAGGAAGCTGAAGTCCTTCAACGTTTGCAGCAAGATGCTGCATATCTTCTATACGTCTGTTGTAGAGAGCGCTATCTCTTCTGCCATCATCTGCTGGGGGAGCAGCACCAGAGCAAGTGACTTAAAAAAGATCAACAAGCTTATAAAGAAGGCTGGCTCAGTTCTGGGGACTCCTCTAGAACCTTTGGAGATGATTGTTCAAACAAGGATTCTTCATAAAATGAAGAACATTATAGACAACCCTCAGCATCCTCTTCATCAGACTGTCATACAACAACAAAGT